CTTCCGATCTTTGTGTTCGTCTCTTCCGTCGCCGGAATCTGTTTCCCCCCTTCGCAGCCCTGCTTTACGTCGTCAACGATCATCATTAAACTATATCTATGCGTGTATGTGTATGTTTGTGTGTGTGTATATATATATATATCTTTCATCAAAATTCATTGTGTATATAGTATATATATTTGCCATGCATACACACACAGTACGTAAGCATATATACTGTGTACATGTAATTGCATACCCAGTAGAGATCTCCGGATGATGCCGGAGAGAAAAACGGCTTGAACTCCGGGGAAAAGGCGTTGCATTCTTCTCCAGCAATGTTATGATAGTACTGTGTCGTATTATTGAAATTATCCACATAATAGCCACAAGCACCAATGTTGTTGTTGAACTCGGGCACGGCCATGTCGGAAATGCCGAACCTTTCCGGCAAAAGGGTCGCCGGAGCCGGTGATAGGTCAGCCTGGAAGGAGCCGTACAGATCATCAAACGACGTCGGATTGCTGGAGACGGCGTCATGAGGATTGAATGCTAACGAACCGTAATTCTCTAAACTATTCAAGGGGGTGAGGTAATGCTGCGACGAGGTCTCGCCGGGTAACGTGAAATCGGCGTAGAAATTAGGAACAGACGCCATTGGCGAAAACAGAGAGAGAGAGAGAGAGGCCTTTGTTTTTTGTTTTCGAGGTTCAATTAGGGTTTAGGGTAATTAGAAAGGGATGTGGATATATATAGGGGAGAGGGAGGAGGAGGTGCGGGCAGGGTGACCGGCAGCGCGGGCAGGGTTCGTCTTCGACTGAACAAACCACTGTTGTATGTCGTTATCATCACTGTGTTTATAAGCTGTAGTCTCCCTAATTATATCTTAAACTCACAAACTTCCAACTGTTTCTATTTTCGTTTATTTCCTTTTTTCTGTTTACGGAGGTTTTCACATTTATCTTTCGTCGCACTTCCACGTTAATACATCTTAGTTCGATATTACATTTAACGTTCTCTATTAAAAAAAATAATAAAAGAGAATATCCTTGATATATATCCAAGATTTGCGTATGGATAAATCATTTAGAACACGCTAACGGCAAGATACATAAGGTAGAGACATGTAATAATAGATAGCCAAACCACTTTCGATTTCGCGAATATTAATTAATTTTTTTTGTCCAAATTAGACGACGCCTACAATCATCTGTGAAGATTCTTTCTTTCTTTTTCCGGAGGAAGACTTATGAATCATATTCTCCTCACGTTCGATGTAAGAGGCCGTACTAACCCTCAATTTAGGATGGATTGCTCAAGAAGGAGCGAACCCCTATTCTATTCATAGCCCACGAATCTAGACACATGCTCTTGCAAGATTTGCACCAGATACTTTACCCAAAAAAAAAGAAAAAGATTTGTACCAAAAATCAACTCATTTTTGTTTAGGTTTACAATATTAGCCATATACTTACATTTGCTACAAGTTCGTCCCTGCTCGATTTTTGTACATTTGTGTAGTTGGCGACTACGTACGGGTTTCGAAGGCACAAACGATATTTAAGAATTCAAGACAGTAAACAAAATCTTGCCTCAAAAGTTATATATAAAAAATGAAAAAAAGAATAGAGAGGGCAGCCTCGCTCGCTATTTAGTAAGATAAAAGATTCCACAGAAGAAAATGGTGGGTGAGGGAGGGAGGGGGTGAACTGAAATGATGGGGCGTGATATGACTGAATATGCATTCAAACATGCAAAATGCAAATGGATCAAATGTTTTATATATATATATATATATATATTTTTTTAAGTGGCACAACTCTATATCCGATATTATATTCCCCATGAACGATTTTCTGAAACTAAACACATCGCATCTCATCATATGTATTCGTGCTTATATTGAATAGGCTTTCTGCATGACAAAATCCAACAATTCCCATGAAAGGAATCGCTATCTTCCTTTGGAATTCATTCTACAAATGTACTGACTGATTCTCTCTTTATTTAAAGCCCTTTTTTTTTTCCGTTCAAACCCCTTGAAAGAAAAGGCCCTTTCTTTCAAAACGTATACTTCATGTGTTCTGTTGTGCTAAAGCGACACTCATATCTTACTTCGATCTCCCATTGTCGTCTTGAAAGATTCCTGCCTTTAACCATTCTATTCCTCAAGAAGCCTAAATCATGCTTTCAAAATGCCGCATTGAGCCTCGCGATGATTTACTGCAACCAAATCCATTCAAGAGCGATATTAGATTTTTCGATTCTCATTGTGATGGAGCAAGGCTGACTTCTATTACACCAACGCCCCAAGCAAAAGGCATACAAATCAAGTAGATTGCCCCTCACAAGACGGGCTCTCCCCCATTCCATCCACTCATTGAAAACAAGAGGAAATGCTGACTTTTATAAGAGGAAACAAAATAAATCTAGCAGAGGGGGTGAAACGATTCCCAGATATGGAAAAAGCAAAACCTTGCAAGTGGTATTGGGTCATGGTTGGTGCATGTTGCCTGGGAAGTGAATCTCAGACGGGCAGCTGTTCCTTTGAAAAAATGTAAGGAAAAAAAAAAGACGAAGAAACGTTTTCTCTTTACATCACTTTATTACAAGTATTCTTGTTCCTTAGCTTTTGTTTCTCCGGCCACACAGAAAAGGCTGCTAGATATGACATGCTTTTGATCTAAATGTTCACGCAGAATATATTGTTTGAACGCATCCAGTGTTTGATCTCATCATTTCAAGACCAATTGCTCAGAAGAGAAGAGACTACCTTCGCAAGCTGTGGCTGAGACGTCCCTGGAAGGCTCTGCTCTGCTCTCTTAAAAATTTCCCGGCAATGTATGGACGGAGGGAGATCTCATATCTTAGGAATCGAAATCTGAGACAAATAACATCAGGGCCATGCCTGAACCATACATGTACGTAGCACTGACATTATTTATCAGATTTGAGAATTTTACCTGAAAGAACTCTTTCCCATCTATCCCAAGAGGAAATGCCGAACAATCTAGGAAATAAAGTGAGTGGATTCGAAGCAAGACATCAATAGCTTTTAGAAGTTCAAAAATGATTACTGGAATTAAGTAAAACAACAATACATCATAGGTGGAAACCGGCATGAGAAAACACAGAAACACAAATGTAACGGGACAAGGATCTGATTCTGAGCCAAGCAAAGTCCTCACCTTTGCAAAAGTCACAACCGAGTTTCTTTGCCCAGTGGCAGTGAGTCCCCCCTCCTGTCCTGAGTCAGTTTCACCAAAAAAAAAACAACAACAACAACAACAGGAAACCGCATATTGAAGATCGAAGAGTTGCCACAGGACCATGTATCATCAAAACAATTTCCTTTTCTAGATTCGTATGCAAACCACGGCATTATATTGGAGTCAAAGAATCAATCTTTGGCTCTCAGCAACTAATAACCTACCTCAACAGAACTAGCTTGGCACAGCACATTACATTCGAACAAAACCCTTAAAACTCCGAGTCCGGTCAGGTAATACTATTTGCTAAATCCTCCGGACGAATCGACCCAAGAATTCTGAGAGGTTGAGGATCCTATCAATGCAACCCTTGGAAAGTCAATTCCATCGAAGAATAAAACCCCAATTTCTGTCTCCATTTTCCACTCACCCAGAAATTGAAGGCGATAGATGAGAAAAGTTTCTTACATTTTCATCGATGACGTTCCTCAGATCGGAATCGGGCTCTCCAAGTAAGCGACCGTCTTCGAGTTCCTACTTCCTAGACAGGGCCGAACCTTCTCGAGAAGCCTCAGCAGGAGGCCAGAAACTTCGAAACCCTGGAAGCAATGGCCATTCCGGACGAGATCGAGCAGATGGGTCGGGCCATAATCTATTTGTAATTTTTTTTCTTTTCTTAACCAACTTGTTAAATCTGATTATACATACATAATTTTTTTTAATTCATTTCGTGATTCACGTAACAATATTCTTAGATACCTCCTCAGAAATATAAAATCAAAACCCATGTATTTAGTATAGCCCTGAAATTCATGTAACAATAGGCTTTATAACAAGTATCCAAAAAGTCAGGAAATGAAATGTGCGTAGGATGGGATGGGCTAAAGCTGAGGCCCATATCATAAGCATAAATGGGCTTGAAAACATAAGCTCAGCCTTCGTTCTTGTTTTTTTTTTTTAAAGAAAGATAGGGCAAGGGGGGTGTGAGCGTTGCGAAATAATTAAGCAAAAGAAACGTAAAACGGTGGAACTTTGAGATTCCTTGGCTACGTCTAGAATACGTATAATCATCGATTTAACTTCCTGACGTTGTATATAAACGAACGAATGTAGATGTCTAATAAATACTAGCCGTATTCTTCAAGCCCTACAGCTCGGTACGTGACAAATTTTAAACATTTAGTATTGTTTTAATTAGAGACATCATGAATTCGTATTTAAAAAGTTAGCTTTAAAAATCCATCATTTTGGATTGCATAGTCACTTTCTAAATCTGGACAATTACATTATCAAGACCAAAATAGCTGAGTTTTAAATAAAATATTCATAAAAATTCAAAATTTTGATTCCTGATTAATAGTAAATCAAAATCCGTAATATAGGTGATTTATAATAATTACATATCGATGAAAGGTGTTATATAATTATTCATTTTTATTAACCTTGTTGACTAATTATCAACACTTGGTAATATTATTATGGGTAATTAAACTTGTTGCATAGGAATCTCGGGGTTGGGGACAGGGTTGAAGAGGATGCTATTTAGCAAGGGAGGAGGGCGATTGCCAATGTTCGCTAGTGGGCGGAGGTCTCAAATCGGTTTAAATTTCGATTTTCAGGGTTTTCGATTCGGTTTAGTAAATTGAAAACCGAGTTTTTTTTTCTCAAATCGGTTTAAATTTTGAAACCAAACATGCCGATGTGGCGAAAATAAATTTAAAAAATCTGACATGGACATGCTGACATCAGCGTTCTGGGCAAACGTGAATTTCCGGTTGTCTGAAAATTTGGTCAAACGGGTCAACGGTTTAATTGACCATTAAATTGCAAGTTAGATGTTTTGTTGAGATATGTGTTGTAAGTTTGAGGATAAAATGGATTATTTGTATAAATTTTAGTAACTATTATTATTAGAATAGCAGATTGCGGAAAGAACATTTTTGTGCAACAAATTTGAAAAAAACGTCAAGGAGGATTCCCGCAATACGTATACACCAAGTATAGTGAATATAACTTCGTATCTCTACTATTTACAAGCTACATATGGGAAAACTCAATACATATTTTTTCTTAGAATTTACTTGTTGATTAATTATCGAAAGAGAAATATCGGATTATAAATTATGAAGTTTATATAATATATGTGATTTTAGATGTAAATAACCGTGTAGAGAGAAAATCAAGTGACACACAAATTATTCAGGAAAGCAAGCGTCAAAGCATAAATACATATAGGCGTGACAGGGGTATATACGTAATTTTAAATAAAGCCCCTCAAATTTAAAAACCGAGATAGCCGTTACAAGGAGCGACTCTGCCCCCCATGTGCCTATTAATAAGAATCTCCACAATCTCTCTGAATCCCAACTTTCTCTCTCTCTCTCTCTCGCTCTCGCAAGTGTGGGTTTCCATGGCGGCAGACCAGAACATGAGTTTATCGATTATGGAGCAGAAGACGAGGCATCCTCTTCACCAGATCGCGGATGCGCCCACTCACAAGCTTCTCCTCAAGCAATGGCTGAAAGAAGAAGAGCTCATCCTCAATCGCGCCTCTCACAAGGAATCTCAGATCGACTCGGTTCGCAGGGAGATAACGCTGCTCTACATCTTCTTCTTCCTCTTCCACTCCATCTGCCTGCTGCTCCTCTTCCAAGCCTCGGCGGGAGAAGCGCCGCTCCGGTGCGGGAGATCGTGGATTCCGTCGGTGTGCTCGCTGATGTCGTCGCTGGGGATAATATGGGCAGTAAGGTACAAATCGGAGGAGGAGGCGCATCTGGAGAAACTGCTGGAGAGGGAGAAGGAGGACGGGCAGCTGATGAGGAAGTGCGTGGAGGAGCTGAAGAAGAAAGGATTGGAGTTCGATTTGCTCAAGGAAGTGGACGCGCTTCGGCGAGCCAAGAGCCTGAGGGTGGAGAGGAAGCCGGTGAAGAAATGGTCTGCTAGGGATTTCGTCACGCTCTTCTTCTTCACTGTTTCGTGTTTGGTACTCGCTTTGACTCGGCTGATTCTATGCGAGTAGAGTAGACGTCGCTCTTCTTTTCTTTGTGCGCAAATTGAAGCTGATTCCGCATGAATTATTCCAATTCATGAATCCAGCACAAGTCTAATCAGAGTTTTACGACAGCTATGCCCGTCACTTGGTTGGTTGATTTCACGTTGAAGTTTTTGTCAGTAAAAAAAAAAAACAAAAACGAGAGCACCATTAGAATAGAACGTGATGATGACGTGAAAACAAAGGATGATTGTTGAGGAAGAAGATACAGAAAAGTAAATTCATTCTCCTTCCCACCATCGTAAGAGACATCTATATCATATCCATAGAGCATTGCCGCAAAGGACACTTAGCTTTCCTCGCCTTTGTTCTTCTTCTTTTTCTTCTTCTTGGAATTGTCGTTGGCCTGCTCTTTTTCCATCTTCCGCTTCTCCTTCTTCTTCTTCTCATCCTCCTCCTCCATGTCCATGGCTTCCTCACCTTTTGACTTCTTCTTCTTCTTCGTGCTTCTCTCCGTTGAGGCCTCCACAGGCGGCTCTCCCTCTTCTCCTGAAGCACGGAGAGTAGTTGGAACACTGATCTTTGTTCTCTATATAGAAACAAAGAGCAGAAGCAGTACCTTGGTTTTGCAGAGTTTCCAAGACATCCTTCATTACATCGAGGTTCTTGCGTGGTGCAACACCTTTGTCGTAGAAGTCGAGCCGCTCCTCCACTTGTTCACGCAGCTTCTCCCCAAAAGCTGCAGTGCTCCTCTCTGTTTAACCACACAGATCAACATGTAGGTCAGAAAAGCCTTCACGGTCCCCCCACCCACCCAATATGCCTATTCATTTCGCATTTTACCAGCAAAACAATCGATCCGGGATGCAATCGAACACTTGTTTGCCAGATAACGAGCAATACGGCCCTTGTTCTTCGCCGACGCTCTCCCAATAAATGACGAATGGAATATCAAACCATATTTGGGCGTGTTTCCCTTTGTTTTCAGTGCCCTGATTTTGAGTCATCATACCACCACCAGATATTAATACTCGTTTACATATTATATCAGATCATAACAAAAACAGCTACACACGGCACCTGAAAAGTGCCTTCTCTGCTCCAAGGATCTGAAGGGTTGAAGACGGACACTTTGCGAGATTTGTCAGACTTCCCGCATGTGAAATCAACCGGGCACCAACCATGTCACCTATCAAGGCCGCCAAGTTTGGAGCAATGTCGTTCATCTTAGCCACAAGATAATCATAGAGCTTCTTTCTGTACTCAGACAAGTCCATAACCCTCTGGGCAAAGTTCTGCACGTTGATCAAGTCGACCGGTGACAGATCCTGACCTACAAAGAAGAGGACATACATAACACATTTAGAACAATGGAGATTAGAAACACAGAACAACTCAACCTGACTATCAGTGTACGAGGCAAGATAATTACCCATAGACGCTTTTCCAGCTTCAACGACCTCCTTTGCCTTGTCTTCATCCCCGAGAACTTCAGTCAACATTGGGATATGCTCTTCAGACAACTTCGATTTGTCCTCAATGATTTTAGCAACACGGGCATAAAGGTAGTTGTCATTGACTATCTTCACTAATTCGGGGAAATGCCACGAGTACCATTCTCTGCAAAAAAAAAAAAAGGAAGTTATCATAAGCCATTCAATAACCAACATTCATAAAAGGTGATAGGCAACAGGACCATATCTCAAAAGGAGAGGAGACAAAACTAACCTGACTCTCATAGCAAAGGAATTAATATCCTTATCAAGCGTGTCGAGCAGGAAAATGGCTTGAATGACCATGTTGTCTACTCGGTTGACATTGAACTTGACCTTTGCTCTGCTGTAGCTGTGAGCTAAACCTAGTTGAGCCTTCTCCAGATCACCGGGCTACAATAAGAGACAGAGTTAGGGGGTAAATTAGGATACTCAAAAAAGAAAAACCTAACAAAAATGGATCACGCTGAATACACACTTTCAAGTCCTTGATAAACCTATCAAAGTGCTGGCGCACTCCACGGAGAAGCTCGAGGACAAACTCATTGCTCTGGCATGGGATCTTAGTGGCTTCACATACGTGTGACCCGAGTTTTGGTTCTGCCAATCCTAAGCTGAACTTCGACTTCTTACCTTCCTTGACTTTTGGAAGATTCAACTCCAAGAAACTCCTCAGCTCATCGGTCATCAGCCCTTAACCATTTGGTAAAATCCACAAAAGAAGCTTACTACTTGCAAAGCGGCCTCAAATGAGTACAAAAGCCAAAATATTTTTGGGCTGATTCCATCTTATCAGGGATTGTGATAATAATACAGTCTCGTAAGTAAATCGAGGAAGCAAAATCAGGTGGATTACCCCAAAGAAAAAAGTCAACTTCCTTTAGTATAGCTATGGATTTACTGAGGAGACTATATCATCACTCCAATTTGACTTAAAAAGAGATTCAAAAACTGTTACTCCAATTTGAGAATAGCCAGCATACATACTGCAGTGACAAAATGAACAACACGATAAACACAGTACACATGTTACAGATGCGAACGTAGATGATACCAAAAGCCTAATAGAAACGAACACATAATGATCAAAAGCAAGACAGAAGTCTTATTTCATGTTGTTCAGAAATGACCTAAAAAATAACACATAAGTGAAAGCCGGGGGATAGTCACCTTCAGAGACGGCGTTGATTTGGTTGAGGGCATCGAGAGCAGACTCGAAGGGATGGAAAGCTGTGAGCTTGACGACGCGACCGAACCGGTTGAGGTCCGAGACAGAGCTCCGGACAGCCTCGGTGTTCTGTCCGATCTCGTCGAGCCCATGAGCTTCGAACAGGGCATAGCCGGAGGAGGCTTCGTAGAGAAGGTACAGCGACATGCGTGAGATTCGCGGGAGAGAAACGGCGAAGATGAGGTGACTAGGGTTTAGGGTTGAAGGAGCTTTCCTGGTTTAAAAGTGGAGATGGAAAAAACCTCTAGGGTTTTAGGTTTCTAATAAATGGGCTTCATTAGGCCCATCGGTTGAGTTATGGGCTTTAAATATGCCGTAATTCCATGCTGAACTGGGGGACGTGGACACCCAATCATATGTACGTGTGCCATGATAGATATAAGCAAGCAAATAAAACATTATAATTACTTACTCGACCACCCTATTGATATATATATATATATATATATATATATGTATACATCCTTTTAATTGGAATGTTTGAAAACAAAATATACAGTGATTTTATTTAATTTATACCAATGTGTGGTTACGTACGTGAGGGAACAAACCAGAAAAATAAAAACCTTGAAAGTATGTATCCAACTGGTTGGTAACTACTAACTAGATAGGTTACATAACTGAAAATTTAATATTAGTTGCAAATAAAGACATGATATTGCTTATATATTACATTAATTATATAATATCTGTAGATCTCAATGAAGCTGTAATTTGTTTATTTATATATATGATAATGAATAAAGTCGTCACGCAATTTTGTTCAAGGAGTGAGCGAGAGGTTAATTGGTGTGAAGAAATATGGAAGCTGTACCAATTCCTTTAACCTAAAGCTTCTGGAGGAGCTAATGTCGTTTTACAAATTCATGTATACAACAGAGTGTATAAACGGTAAGATATCACACACTTACTTACACCCCGCACCCCATTTTGGTATATTCATCCAATTATAATACATTTTATACACTTGAGATTGTTTTTCATTTTAGAATAATTCAGGATTTTACTCGTTAAAAACCCAAATCAACACTAACAACTGATGACGTCATCCGTCATTCCGACAGAATATATATATGTATATGTATTCACGAACCAACTACTTTTTTCGTAATTCTCATTTCATACGAAATTCCCGTCACTGTACCTGGCCAGTACTCCTTCTCATACGAAATTACACATGTACCCTCGCCTCTTTATATACCCCTTCTCCCTCACCCCTCGTCTCTCTCTGCAGATTTTCTCCTTTTACCATTAAAAAGTCGGAATCTTTAGGTTGTATATTTCGGATTAAACTATCTGTGTAATCATGAAGTGCCTGATCCGCCGTCTGTCCCGCGTGGCAGACTCAGCGCAGTACAACCTCCTCCGTTCCGATTCCCGGCGACCGAGTCGGCGGTTGCAGACGGCGATCCGGTCAGCAGCTCGGAGAGAGAAGAAGGCGAAGTCGTCGGTACCGCAGGGACACGTGCCAGTGTACGTGGGGGAGGAGATGGAGCGGTTCGTGGTGAGCGCGGAGGTGATGAACCACCCGGTTTTCGTGGGGTTACTGAACCGGTCGGCTCAGGAGTACGGGTACGGGCAGAAGGGCGTTATACACATCCCCTGTCACGTGCTCGTCTTCGAGCGAATCATGGAGACTCTCCGCCTGGGACTCGCCGAGTCACGTGACCTCCAGGAACTCATCGGAAGCGACGCCATCTGATGATACTCTTGTCGATTCGTCGTCCTCGCTAGAAACAGTGCAAAAAGGGGATAGATCTGTTTGTTTTTGCTCAGATACAGACAAAAGTAGGATGTGTTGTTGGTGTAAATAGTCGTTTGCTCGATCTGTTTTGATGGTGGGGTTCTGTCAAGGTTTTTTCTTTCTATTTAAATCTTGGTGGACGAACGCTTCTTCTTCGATATTAGTATTATCTACTTAATTCGACATCGAAGATTGTGCCCATATATTTTTCACGCGACCCTCCGCATCGTAAGATCCATCCAAAATCAAATTTGGTTTTATAAAATTGGTGTAATTGATCCATGGGATCGGAGTCATTAAAACGTATAAAAATTCCTTAAATATGACTTATGTAACGTTGTATATTAATTAAGCATATAAGTAGGTGATATTCTAATGCTCGCAATGAAGTGCATGTGGAAGTTAAACTGTCCCACAGCTCTCGATTCGCAAAAACCAATAATTGTTCCGTGTTAATCTTGATTTGGGATTTAATTAATCCGAATTGTGGTTATAGTACAGTTGGAAATTTCGTCCGCTTCTGTGGGTGGTTCCCATGTTGCTTGACCTTGACCTGCATATTATTATTAACCCCACATGCAATCATTACCAATATTGGTAAATGCAACATCAGATTATAAAATAATATTCCTTATACCATAGATCTACACTTGGAAGTGTTTTACAAAGACACAAGTTTTGAGGATGGAAACAAAAATCAAGTCAAACTTCATCAGGATATTTTCCATTCATCATAATGTACGGCTGTTGGGTTCAGATGTCTAATTTTAAGCCCAAAGAGGCCCAAAATGATCAAATGTAGGCCCATTATTCAATGTATATGGGAGTTTCTTTGGCTTCTGCCACATGCGTACTTGCCCTTGTGCGACGTCCCGAGCCAGTCTCGTGTATTATACCTCTCAATTAAAAAACACATTCTATACGTATTTTACAATAATTTATGCATTTAATATACAAGTCTCCTCCCTATATCATATCATATCTACCTATATGATGGTAGAATACAATGCCAATGATTATATAACTTTCCAATTTTTTTGTATTAACTTAAACCAGCACATTACGTCCTTTCTTTTCAAGTTCTCATATCCTATACAATATGCAATTAATTTATTATAAAAAAGTAATTTTTGGGTAGGATCGTTAATTAATTAATTCTGTAGGATCTCGTTATATATTGTTTGGAGAAACAAGTCATTCTATATTTTGTATGCTCTCATAGTGTGAAGGGACAAGTGATTAGTAAAGAAACTGCAATATTGTTTTAATGGAATTACGAAATGCAAAAATAGATCCAATCGATCTCTAGTCTCAAAATTCGATAACTACCCCAAATTGTACGAATAAAATCCTATGTTCGACCTATGGTTTAATATTATTGTGTGAACATGGAATAAGTACGGCGGCTAATGGTTTTTCATTTGAATCTAAGCAAATTACTAAAGAAATCAATGACCAAGACTGATTTGGAGACAAGGAATGAGAGTTGCAGAGATTGGGAGAAAGAACAGAGACGTAGAATACAGAAGAGTGGAGAAGAAAATATTACTCTATATATTGATGTTTATTTGTTTACAATATATAAACAGATTTTACAAAAGTAAAATGGAAACAAGTGATATAGAAATTATACATATGGAATGTGGAAGAGATATGTTCGTGATTTGTTCCAGATTTGTTGCCAATGACTAACGTTCACTTTCAGCAGCAAACCTTCTGATTGATGCAGTGTCTTCCTCCTGAATATTACAGCTTGTGTCGATCTTCAGTTGAATCTTGGTCTGATCGTGTCCTTGAACCAGAAACACCTCACTCTCTTCTTCATTATCTTGTTCAACAACATTTCCCCTCAAGGTTGGTCGGCGGTATTCGGAAAGACCAATCTTGGAGAGTATCTTGTTTAGAACAAAAGAACTTGTTGCCTTTGTGAATATGTCTGCGAGTTGATCTTGACTTCTCGTGTACATAGGTGCGATTAACCCTTGAGTTATCTTTTCTCGTATGAAGTGACAGTCGACCTCTATGTGTTTCGTTCTTTCATGAAACACGGCATTGGACGCAATGTGTAGAGCTGCTTGGTTGTCGCAATGTAGAGGAATCGGTTTCGGTGAATGGATACCAAGATCCTCTAGCAATTGCCTCAACCAAATAAGTTCGCTCGTGGTGTTTGCCATAGCTCGATATTCCGCTTCAGCACTAGATCTTGCAACTACAATTTGTTTCTTGCTCTTCCAGGTGACAAGGTTGCCACCTACAAAGGTGCAATATCCAGTGGTAGATTTGCGATCGGTTCTGTCTCTCGCCCAGTCTGCATCACAATATCCAATGATCTCCGTGTGTTTGTTGCATCGCATCCACAGTCCTTTGTTAGGAGTTCCTTTCAGATACTTGAGAATGCGGTCCACCATTTGCCAATGCGTCGTGGTTGGTGCGTGCATCCATTGACTAACCTGGTGCACGACAAAACTTAAGTCAGGTCGGGTAATGGTAAGATAGATGAGCTTACCTACAACGCGGCGATATTGTTCTGCATTCTCCAACAATTTCCCCTCGCGTTGATCTTTAAAATGTTCTTCAATAGGGGTACGGACAGGCTTAGCTCCGAGTTTTCCAGTTTCCTGAAGAAGATCTAAGACAGATTTTCTTTGGGACAGGAAAAGGTCAGATGAAATATGTGTAACTTCAATGCCAAGGAAGTACTTAAGCTGACCAAGATCTTTGATATCAAAGACAGTTTTCAAGAACATTTTTGTAGCAACGATTCCGGAACTATCATCACCCGTAATGATAATATCATCGACATACACAAGGAGAACGATAATACCGGTTTCGGTGTGCCGTATGAAGAGTGAGTGGTCATTGTTGCTGCGAACAAAACCGTGGCTCGAGATAGCATCGTGTAACTTCTGATACCATGCCTGAGGCGACTGTTTAAGGCCATAAATAGCCTTTTTAAGTCGACAAACTAGTGGCTTCGTAGTGTATCCGGGCGGTGGTGTCATGAAAATTTCTTCGGCAAGATCGCCTTGAAGAAACGCATTTTTAACATCCATCTGCCAAAGAGACCACGAAGAGTTAGCAGCGAGAGAAAGTATTACACGAATAGAGGAAATTTTCGCAACGGGAGCAAAGGTATCCGTGTAATCTTCCCCGTAAGTTTGAGTGAAGCCTTTAGCAACAAGACGCGCTTTATATCGGTCGATCACTCCACTGCTGTTGTATTTGATTTTATAAACCCACTTTGATCCAACAGCTTTCTTGTCCTTGGGTAGGTCGGTAAGTTCTCAAGTGCCATTACGTTCCAACGCAGCAATTTCTTCCTGCATCGCCTCTTGCCACTCTGGAATATCTTTGGCCTCATCATACCGTTGTGGTTCATACCCCTGCTCAATATTACTTAAAAACGATTGTTCATCAGCATGAAAAGAAGCAAGAGAGGAAAAATTAGCAATGGGATAAGCAATTGTAGCTAAGGTAGCATAGCGTTCTAGAACTTTGCGAGGTCTAGTACTGCGGCGTAGCCCCTGTTGTAGAGAGGACATAGTATCAGTTGTGGAAGATGGCAGAGTTGGCGGTAATTCTGGACATGGCTGGTCTGAGCACGGTGGTGGAATCGCCGCAGGTTGAAGATGATCGGCGTCACTGTCAGTGGGCTCGAGATTTGTGGGAGCGAGAGCAGAAGGTGACCCGGGTGTTGAGTCCGGCGCTGCGGAAGCAGAGGTCAGAGAAATCGGCGCAGCAAACAGCGGCGGTGTTTGGGAATCGACGGAATGACCCTGAACGATACCGGCAGAGGACACAGGAGGTGGGTTGGCTGGAGTAGGGAGAAGCGTCGGACCTGCAGTGTTAGTAGATAACGAAAGCGTAGAAGGAGTAGAAGATGAAGACAAAACCTGTTGTTGTGCAAAAGAAATAGGCCCAGGCCCAGACCCAGGCCCAGGTCCGAGAATTGATGGCAAGGAAGGAGAATTATGGGAAAGACCCAATTGTTGGTATGTTGTAAGCAACTTCGTGGCAGCATGAGGGCCATCATGATCTTGGTAGGTGAGATCTTCAAAATCAGACCAATCTTTCTTGTCATAGTAGGAACTATGCTCATCGAACTTGACATCACGGGATATGTAAAGACGGTGTTGTTGTGGTTGATAGCAAATATACCCTTTTTGGTCGGTCGGATAACCCAAGAAAATACACCGAATACTTTTCGGATCGAGCTTGTTTCGGTTAGCTGCATCTACATGAGCATAACAAACACAACCAAATACCCGTAAATGATCAAGAGACGGTTTTGAATTAGAGTACCTCAAACGGAGATTTGTCGCGAAGAACTTGAGTGGGAAGGTGGTTAATAAGGTAACAAGATGTTTTGACCGCATCACTCCAATAAGTTTTGGGAACATTTTTGTGAAAAAGAAGAGTGCGCGAGACTTCCATCAAATGACGATTTTTGCGCTCGGCAACACCGTTTTGTTGAGGAGTGTTCGGACACGAACGTTGGTGAATAATACCATGAGCCTGGAGATAGGTTCTAAAAGCATGGCTCGTATATTCACCACCGTTATCGGATCGTAAACATTTAACCTTCAAGCCAAATTGGTTAGTAACAAACGCGTGAAAAATTTTAAACACATCAAACACATCTTTCTTATGTTTCAACAAATATAACCAAGTGTATTTTGTTTTCTCATCAATGAAAGTGACAAAATATTTAAAATGATCGCGAGAGAAACACGGAGCAGTCCATACGTCAGAATGAATCAAATCAAATGCATTATCATAAACTGTTTGTGAAATAGGAAAAACCGTGCGACAGTGTTTACCGAGTACACAAGCCTCACAATGTCCAGAGGAAACAATGGTTTTGGTCGTTGGTACAAGTAATTGAAGCACCTTATTATGCGGATGTCCTAGTCTATCATGCCATAACGGAGAAGAAACATGAAACGAAGATGCAGAAGGAGAGTGCAAGTCTTCTACAATGTAGAGGTTGCCTCTCTTTATTCCTTTTCCTAGAGAGCGATCCAACTTAGTATCCTGAAATAGCACTTCGTTAGAACGGAAAATCACATTGCAATCTGTGTCATGAATTAATTTAGGAATGGACAGTAAATTGGTACTAAAATCAGGTATATAATATGCAGAAAATTCCATGCCAAATAACCGAAACTTGCCGTGACCACGAATCG